TAGATCCCCAATTTTCTAGAACTAGAAGGAAATCCTTTTAGCTTCGTTTTTAGAAGGAATGGGCAGGAAATGATGGAGCCCCCCTTCTGCTTCACTGAATAACACTCTGACTTTGGCTTCTCCAGAATTCCTCCTAGCGTGTGTCTCTGACATGGTGAAGGTGGGAGTTCAGTTCTAACAAAAGCCACTAAGCACAGACTGCATCCAAAAGTTGGCAGGTCCAAGGAAGGAGTGGAACACAGGCAAAAAAGTGAGGCTGAGTTGACCTAAATTTGTCACAACTCAAAAATACATGCTCAGGCAACCCAGTGCCACCCTCTCTATATGAGAAAGCTTTTACTCTTTTACCCACTGCTAGAATGGCAGTACTTTATATACTTAAAAACAGCAAAACAAAACCCAAGTTAATTAGGCAGAAAGAATACATTATTTTTTTAAATAGCCCCTTGGAAAACTTTTAGCCACTTTGCTCATATTTGTAAATAAAGGGGCAGCATACATAAGCATCTAGTCACACAAAAATTAGTGATTCTATTTAGGAAGTAAGGTGCTTTGGTAGCGTAGTGGTTACGAGTTGGGCTGCTAACCTTACAGTCAGCAGTTCGAAACTACCAGCAGCTCTGTGGGGAAAAAGATGAGGCTTTCTGATCCCATAAAGATTTACAGCCTTGGAAACCCTGTACTGCGGGGAAAAAGATGAGGCTTTCTGATCCCATAAAGATTTACAGCCTTGGAAACCCTGTACTGCGGGGAAAAAGATGAGGCTTTCTGATCCCATAAAGATTTACAGCCTTGGAAACCCTGTACAGGGTCAATATGGGTCAGAACTGACTTCATGGAACTTAACAACAACAACATATATGAACGTAGTGGTTATGAATCGGGCTGTGAACCTTAATTTAAAGTCAGCAATTCAAGAAAGAAGAGGCTTTCTGCTCGGTAAAGATTTACAGCCTCAGAAACCCTGTGCAGGGTTCGCTATGAGTTGGAACTGACTCCACAGCACATAACAACAACAGCAACATGAGTCCTGGTGTGGCACTGTGGGCTAATGCGTCAAACTGCAAAGTCATTTGAACTGCAAGGTTGGTGGTTCAAGCTCACCACCTGCTCCTTGGAAACCCTCTACAGGGTCACTATGGGTTGGAATCAAGTTGATGGCACCTAACAACAATATATGGTCTTACATTATTTCTCCAACACAGAAAAGAACATTTGTGACTACTAGTTTTATTGGGTATCTCTTTGCTAAGTGTTTTGCATCTATTATCATATTTAATCCCTACCAAAAAAAAAACCTATTAAAGATTAATACTGCTGCTGTCCCTATATTACAGAGGAGCAATGTGAGTTGCCCGAGATCATTGTTGTTGTTGTTGTCATGTGCCGTGGAGTCAGTTCCAACTCATAGCGACCCTGTACAGGGTTTCCAAGGCTGTAAATCTTTACAGGAGCAGAAAGCCTCATCTTTCTCCCCTGGAGCAGCTGGTAGTTTCAAACTACTGACCTTGCAGTTCGCAGCCTGATTCATAACCACTACGCTACCAGAGCTGCCAGAGATCATACAACTTGTAAATGAGAGAAATCATATACAGCTAGCTAGTAAGATGGTATGTCCACTGTCATGAGCTGGTTCTGACTCATGGTGACCCCGTATAGAGTTTCCAAGGCTGTAAATCTTGATGAAAGCAGGCAGCCTCATCTTTCTTCTGCAGAGCCATGGGTGGGGTTCAAACATCCACCTCAGGTAAGCAGCCCAGCACCTAACCCATTGTACCACCAGGACTGCTAGTAAGATGGCATTCATGACGTTCTTTTCCCATTAAAAAAAGGGAAAGAATTCACTTCTGGTCAGGTTGTTTGATGCTGTGGAGACAGAACTTGGAGCTCTAAACCTCCTAAACAAGAGTTCTCAACTTCTTGTTTAAATCGTCGCTGGTAGCATAGTTGGTTACGCGTTTGGCTGCTAACCACCAAGTCAGCAGTTCGAAACCACCAGCCTTTCACAGGAGAAAGATGAGACGTTTCCTCTCCTGTAATGATTTACAGTCTCAGAAACTGTACACAGGGTCACTATGAGTGGGAACAAACTCAATAGCACCCAAAAACCGTCTATGCTCAGTCACTTAGCTGTCAACATTGAGTCCTTCTTACTTACACAAAGGATAGCAACACAATTCCAGGACTTAAAGAAGGGTTTAATATAATACTGATAAATAAAATACTAAATCAACATGTGTATTTTACAATTCCCCTCTCCCCAGAAAAAAACAGGTCTTAAAAAGTTTAGGTTAACCAATTTCGTTTAGGTTTCGCAAAGAGTGAACTCTTAATGTACAAATGCTTCTGAGTATGTATTCAAGTAACATTTCTCTTCTTGTAATGAAAAAACATTCATTACAAAATGACATATAGTCTTGGAATAATAATCTCATGGGAGAGAGGACAGAGTTGACATAATTTGGATGATGGTGAAGGTAATTTTTATACTCTGAACACTTAAATACAATGAACTATGTATAAATTTGGCCAGTCTTGGAGTCCTGACCCACCAAGAGCTCCAAGATTAAAAAAAAAAAAAAAAAAAAGGCAATTTGATGTTTTCACAATTTCTAATGATAAAAACTAGCCCCATAGATCTGAACCCTATCCAAGAAGTATGTCAATAGCTGGTTGTTTCAGGTTAGGTTTATGATATAGTAACAGAACTGTGTAGGGGGTAAAATATGTTAAAACATGTCCAAGCGTGTTTTGGTCAAGTCAGTAATAGTACTTAATGCTAATAAAACCACAGAATAGTCTTGTGATTAAGAATACCGCACACGGGATACTATATGCACAAGCAAGTACTATACTTCGTTTCCCCCCTGCTGGCAGACCCTAGTTATTAAAACCAAGAGCTTCTTTGAGACTACATCACAGATCCACAGTTAAGTACCTCTGGGGCTAGAAAGCATTGAAGCGCCAACCAAGGGGAGGAAATTGGAAACAGTCAGGAAATAAAAATTCGAATTATTCCAAACCCCATCCCATTTCCCAAAGTGCTGTCTGGGTGCATAATTTTTAAAAGATCCCCCGCAGAATCTTGATTCTCAAAAAATATATATATATATACTAAATACAATAAACCCATTTGAAGCTGAGACAAGGTGAGGTCAACGACTGGTGATATCAACCATTTATCTAACAGATTCAGGTTCTGGTCTGGTCTGGTCCGGGCCAAGCCTCACCACGAGGGTGAAGACAGGAGGTATGGAGGAGGGGAATGAAGGAGAGAAAAGGAGAACGGAGAAGACCTCCCGGCCACACTTCTTTCTAGTATCAACAAAAAAGGAAGCCGTATACTGACCTAAATCATCTCTCATAGGCGCTTTATAAATTACAGGGACAAAGGGTGGGGGTGGCGGGTGGCCTGGGAATCATACAGACACCCTACACTCTGACCCGCCCCCTCCCCCTCCAGTACAAGGGAAGGGAGACAGAAAACAGAGCTCAACTCGGCCATTGGCGAGAGCCCCCCCTCCGGTTTTCAATCGCCCATCCATCAGCCCCCAGGAAAAAATACACAGAAACACCATACCCACCCCCTGGGGCAGACACTCCTGTCCAGAGGTTCCTAGAACCAGAGGCCGGGGCATTTACTTAGTTAGATTTTTCTTGCTTACTCATTTCCCTCAAGCACCCAACCCCCGTTGCCACTCCAAAACCCCGCTCAACCGCCTACCCTCAGGGCTCCAGCCCCCCAACACGATCCGGTGCCCCTGCCGTAGCAGCAGCCCCCACGCCGTCCCGGTCACTAACCTGCTGCTGTAAGGGCATTTCCGAAACCAGCCTGGCTCCGGAGCGAGGTGGGGGGGCCGGCTGGAGAGGGGGCCCGGAGGGCCGAGCAGACCAGCGGCGCCGGGCAAGGGCGGGCGCCGGGGGCGCGGGTGGGGGTGGGGAAGAAAGGGAGGGTGGCGGTGCCCGGGGCGGGTGCGAGGGCGCCGGGACTGTCCCAGGCCGGGGAGCCGGCAAGCAGGAGGAAGTGGGTGCCCCCCTCTCCCCTTCCAGCGCCCCCTCCCGCCGCCTCCTCCCTAGTCACAGGCGCGTCCTCCGCGCACGTGTGCGAAACGTCACCGGCGGGTCCCGGGGAAAGGGACAGACCCAGGCGGCGGGACGGGAACCCGGCTGCCCCCGCCCTCCTTCGCCGGGGGGCGGGGAGGGGGACAGGGCGGGGAAGGAAGGAGCAAGGGGAGAGGCGGGTCAAGGGCAGGCCCGGGGCCGGTTAGGAAGGCCTGGGCGCTCGGGCCACGCGGGCGGCGCTGCAGCCAGGATGCGCCCAGGCCGGGGCGCCAGGCCACTAGCCCCTCATCCTCAGACAACCTACACCCCAGCTCGCACCCTGCTTCCAGCTCCACATCCTCCACGCTCTTCCAGCCCCTTTGTTGCTGAGAGTTACAAATCCCAAAATGTGTCAAGCGCAGCCCAGCAGAGCCCCTGCGCTCCGACCAGGCTTGAGGGACCCCAGCCCAAACACGGGCCTCCAAGGCCCGCTGGAGGCGATCACCCCAACAGTCCCCCTGGTTTCCACCCCCGGGGATCCCCCAACACCCCAGTTCACTACTCCCTCCCCCACCCCCTTCTCCATCCGGGGCGTGACCCCTTCCTACGCTCCGAGAAAGAGGAAGCTTCGAGTTGGAAGGGAGGGGAGAGTGGGGGTAGGGAAAAGTGTAGAAAAGAAGAGGGGGGACGCAAAAAGTTTTCCAGTGTTTGATGTGGTCGCCGCCAAGGCAATCCCCGCTGTTCTGCCAGCCTTACAGAGTCCCCCCGACCCTTCGGGCACTGGGAGAGGAAGCATAACAATGTCTAACAATGAACCTCTGTTGGAGGGGCAGTCACAGAGGCCCACTGCACTCGGTCCCGCACTCCCACGGGGCGGCCCGTAGCGCGCCCCACCACCCCGCACGGTGTAAGCCCACCTCCCGCCCGTGCTAGAGACCGTGGGGGTCGGAGGGTATTACCGGAGGGCCGCCGCCGCTGCCGCCGCGTCCCAGCGCTGGTGGCTGCTGCAGCAGCCCGGCTCTGCTGGAGGGTCCGTGCGGCGTGGTGTAGAGGAGGCTGCCGGCGGTCTGCTCCGCGCCGGGGGCACAGGGGAGGAGGGGGCCGGCGGCGGGGCCGCCGCTTTGGAGGGAACAGGAGGTGGTGGAAGTGTTCGTGGTGAGGATCTGGATGTATGCGCCCGGGGCGGCGGCGGCTGCGGCGGCGGCGGGGAAGCCCGGGCTGGCTAGCAGTGCCCTTTTGTCCATGGAGGCTGCAGCGGCGGCGGCGACGACAGCCGCCCCTTCCCCACCCCCGGCGGTCACCAGGTACTGCTCCAGGGCGGGCTGGATCCCCTTTCTCATCTCTCGCTCCTGCTCTTTTTATTGTTACGGTATATTAATGTATTGCTTTCAATTTCTTTATTATTTGCAGCTGGAGTTTTCAAGTCTCTCCTCCCCGCCCGGGCGCTTCCGAGCCCCCTCTCTCTCTTTTCTTTTTATTTTTCCGCAACGAATGGGCCCCAGGGGCCAAAAATAATCGGGGCCTTGGAGAGAGGAGGGTCCCGGTCGCACGGATATCGAGCCCCGAGGGAGGATGGAGGCTTCTGGGGCAGCCGATGCAACGGATTGCGAGGCGGCGGCAGCAGCCCGGGTGCTGCGGCCGGCAGCTGAAAAATGGCTCCAGGAAGCTGCTGCTGACAATGAATGAAGGGATACGGTTTACGCGCCAAGGTCCTCCCGCGAAACTCAGATTTCCCGCCGGCTTTTCAAACCATATTTGCATATCCCCGCCCCACAACCTGCCGTGGACCGTTCCCTTAGCCCATTGGGTCTCTGTCGCCTTACTTCAGTCCCAATCGTGGAGCCGGGCCGCGACTTGCTGGTTTCCATTGGCTAGCGCGCATTATGGTTACCGAGGTGACAGGGCCTATTTGCATACGTCTCTCTGATTGGCGGGAGTCGGAGTAGGATTCTTTTTGGGGGGGTGGAAGGTGGGGCAAAACCTTTCCTTCGCTCCCACGGAAGACCACGCCTAGTCCAGGCCCCGCCCCGCCCTCTTGCCGGGCAGGCGCTGCTGACCTGTGTAGGGACTTCGCTCCCGGTCCTCTCTTCTCTAAAGAACAAGTTTCGTTTTTGGAAATCGTCAAGGTGACCAAGGAGACACTTCCGGGAACTGTTTTTTTGTTTTATTTTGTTCTTTGACCAGTGAATGTAGTAGATGAACAACATCGGGAGAGTGTCCCAAATACATGCCAAAGGCAAGTTGGACCTTACGGACGATGGCTGGCAGGTGGAAACAGAGCCCTTTAAATCGTGGGTTTCTCGCCGAAAGCCAGCCAATGCCGTGGCGAGAGCTGGTTCCCAGGCGGAGACTGATAGAAACACGTGGGCCGACAGAATCGTGGGGGCAGAAGGATCGGCTGACGTGACTGCGGGCACCATTTAGTTCACATTCCAGGTAGTTTCGTTATTAGCCTGGATTTCGTCTAAGTAAAAATTAACCCTGAATGTTTTGTCAAGTGAACTCTTAGCACAAGTACTGGTTTGAGTCTAGCGGACACCTTCCCCACCCTCCCCTTTACCCCGGGCAATTAAGTAGAGCTAACATTAAAACGGATCTGCAGCCTCAAAACCGCCAAACCTTTATCCCAAGAATTGCACACTTCCCGCGATGACGTGGTGCTCCCGAAGAGCGCTGCACGTCTGCGCAACAGCACTTTGCAGTGTTTCTGTCCTTGGTTTCCTAGGAAGTTCTCTGACAAAGTGAACACGAAGACCCAAACCTACTTCAAAGCATTTTAAATTTGTAAACTAGAAGTTGTCGTTAAAAAAATATTCTGGAACTGTTTATTATTTGTCACACCGACGTCTGCACTGGCGCAAGTATATGTGAATTTTAAAAGTGAAGAATTCCCCTGTGAGACTGAGCAAGAAAAGGGGCTCTTGTAGCAATGTAGGGAACTGTGTACCAAAGGGCTTCAAAAAGTTTGTGAAAAACGAATGAAAAGATCACGGATTTTTTCCCACGAACTTTTTGAAGTAATGACCAGGTTATCATTTCCGTTCCCTTAACTGAGAATAGTCCAGAACAGCTGGAAAGCATGTGCTTGCTCACCAGATAATGAGGAATGCAATGCTTTGACCACTTACACCAAACATTATTGTTACTACTAATTCCCAAAATTTCATATACTCAGGGTGAAAGGCATAACAAGATACATCAGTCTCAGGCTGTTGTTAGGTACCTTGAATCGGTTCTGATTCATAGTGACCTTATTGCACAACAGAACAAAACACTGCCCGGTCCTGGGCCATCCTCATAATTATGTCTAAGCCCAATGTTGCTGCCAATGTATCAATCCATCTCCTTGACGTCTTACTCTTTTTCACTGACCCTCCACTTTACCAAATATGATGTCCTTCTCCAGGGACTGGTCCTTCCTGACACCATATCCAAAGTACAAGAGATGGAAGTTTCACCATTCTCCCTTCTAAGAAACATTCTGGCTGTACTTCCTCCAAGACAGATTTGTTCATTCTTTATGCAGTCAGCCCATGGTAATTTCAATATTCTTTGCCAACACCATAATTCAAATTATTGATTCTTCCAGCATCTTCTTGTTCACTGTTCAGCTTTCACATGCATATGAGATGATTGAAAATACCATGACTTGGATCAGGCCTACGTAGGTCCTGAAACTGGTATCTTTGCTTTTGAACACTTCAAAGAGGTCTTTTGCAGTAGGTTTGCCTACTGCAGTATGTCTTTTAATGTCTTGACTGCTGCTTCCATGAGTGTTAATTGTGGATCAAAGGAAAACTAAGTCTTTAACAAGTTCAATCTTTTCTCCATTTATTATGATGCTATTTACTGATCTAGTTGTTTTTTACATTGAGGTTCAACCCATTCTGAAGCCTATATATTCTTCATCAATAAGTATTTCAAGCAAAGTTATGTCATCTGCATATCGCAGGTTGTTAATGAGTCTTCCTCCAATCCTGATGCCACCTTCTTCATACAATCCAGTTTTTGGCTTATTTGCTCAGCATACAGATTAAATAAATATGGTGTAAGGATACAACACTAAGTACATACCTTTCCTGATTTTAAACCATTCAGTAGCTCCATCGTTCTGTTCAAACATCCACCTCTTGGTCTATGTACATGTTCCTCATGAGCACAATCAAGTGTTCTGGAATTCTTCACCATGTGTTCCATAGTTTGTCATGATCCACACAGTCAAAAGCCTTTCCATAGTCAAAAAAGCACAAGTAAACATATTTCTGGTATTCTCTGCTTCCACCTAAGATCCATCTGTGTTAGCAGTGATATATATCCCTAACTCCACATCCTTTTCTGAATCCAACTTGAATCTGGCAGCTCCCTGTTGATGTACTTCTAAAATAATTTTTAAATTATCTTCAGCAAAGTTTTACTTGCATGTGATATCAATAATATTGTTTGATGATTTCCCCATCCTACTGTGTCTCTTTCTTTGGAATGGGCTCAAATTTGGATCTCTTCTAATCAGTTAACCTGATACCTGTCTTCTAAATTTTTTGGCATAGACAAGTGAGGGTCTCCTATGTTGTGTCAGTTTGTTGAAACGTTTAAGTTTGTATTCTGTGAATTTCTGGAGCCTTGGTTTTTCCCAAAGCTTTCAATGAAGTTTAGACTTCTCCCTTCAATACCATTGGTTCTCAATTATATGGTACCTTGTGAAATGGGTGAACTTTGATCAATTCTGTTTGGTACAGTGACTCTATGTATGCCATCTTTTTTTGATACATTCTGTATCATTCAATATTTTGCCCATAGGATCTTTAAATAGTGTAACCCGAGGTTTGAATTTTTGTCTTTAGTTCTTCTGCTTGAGAAATGCTGAGCATGTTCTGTACTTTCTGTTTTCTAAGTTGAGGTGTTTATACATTTCATTATAATACTTGACTTTGTTTTCTTTAGCTACCCTTGGAAGTTTTCTGTTCAGCTCTTTTACTTCATCATGTCTTCTCGTCAATTTAGCTTCTCTATGCTCAAGAGCAAGTTTCAAAGTCTCTTCTCACATTTTGTTTTTCTGTCGTTCTTGTCTTTTAATGACCTTTTGCTTTTTTCATGTATAATGTTCTTGATGTCATATTATAACTCTTCTAGTCTTCAGTCATTAGTATCTAATGTGTCAATTCTGTTCTTGAGAGGGCTATAAATTCTGAAGGGACATACTCGAGGATATAGTATGGCTCTTGTGAACTTGTTTTAATTTTCTTCACCTCCAGCCTGAACTTGCATGTAAGCAATTGTTGGTCTGTTCCACAATCAGCCCCTAGCCTTGTTTTGACATCTGATATTAGGCTTCTTCAAGGAGCTCTGGTAGCATAGTGGTTACAAAGCAGGCTGCTAATCTCAAGGTCAGCAGTTAGAAACTACCAGCTGTTCCGGGGAAGAAAGATGAGGCTTTCTGCTCCCGTAAAGATTTACAGCCTCGGAAACCCTGTACAGGGTCGCTATGAGTAGGAACCGACTCCACAGCACATAACCACCACCAACAACCACCATTGGAGTTCTTCAGTGTGTCTTTGCACAGATGTAGTCAGTTTAATTCCTATGTATACCATCTGATGAAATCCACATAGTCACTTTTTATATATATAGTCACTATGTTGTTGAAAAGGTATTTGCAATGAATAAATCATTGTTGTTGTTGAGTGCTGTCAAGTTGGTTCTGTGACTCATAGTGACCCTGTATAAGGCTTCTGAGGAGTGGCTGGTGAGTTTGAACTGCCGGCCTTGCAGTTTGAACTGACATTGCGGTCCAGTGCTTATCCTACAGCACCACACAAGGACTCAGAATAAGTTTCTGGTCTTGCAAACTTCTATCATGAGATTTCCAGCATCATTTCTATCACCAGGGCCGTGTTTTCAACTACTGGTCCTTCCTTTTTGTTTCCAACTTTTGCATTCCAGTCACCAGTGATTGTCAATGTATCTTGATTACATGTTTGATCAATTTCAGCCTGAAAAAGTTGGTAGAATTATTCAGTGTCATCATTATTGGTTTTAGTTGTTTGTGCTGTAAGTTTGAATAATAGTGGTATTAACTAGTCTTCCTTAAGTTGTTGTTGTGAATTGCCATCAATTTGGTTCCAACTATAGCAACTCAGTATAGGGTTTCCAGTGAGTGGCTGGTGAGTCTAAACCACCAACCTCACAGTTCAAATGACTTTTCAGTCCAATGCTTATCCTACAGTGCCACACCAGGACTCCTTTGTAGGCATATGGATATTATCCTATCACAGACAGCATTGTACTTCAAGATAGATCTGGAAATGTTCTTTTTGACGCTGAATAATGACATCATTCCTCTTCAGTTTGTCATTTCCAATATAGTAAACCGTATAATTGTCATATTCAAAATGGCCAATATCTATCC